AATCAGTGTTGGTTTGAAATCTACTTGATCTGCAAAGAGGATAGCTACTCCTGCTTTTTTTCGGGTTCCTGTCACATGCAGTATTGTTTTCCACCCTTTAACTTTCAGTCTATGAGTTTCTTTTTGAATTAAGTGTGTTTCTTGTATGTAGCATATGGTTATATCTTGCTTCTTGAGCCATTCTGCCAGTCTATTTCTTTTGATTGGTGAATTGAGATCATTAACATTGATGGTTATAACTGATACGTATTGACTTATCCTTGTCATGACTTTTTCTGTTTGTTGGTTCTACCCCTTTGCATTTAGTTTCTTCTCGTGACTAATGGATTCATTCTGCTGGGCTTCCTGGGGTTGTGATCCTCATTGTCTTTTCCTAGAATATTGTCTTTTTTGGAGTGCTGGTTTGGTATTTATGAAGTTCCTAAGGTGCTCTTTTTCATGAAAGTATCTTATTTTTCCATCAATTTTGAAAGATAATTTTGCAGGGTACATCAATCTGGGTTGGAGGCTGTTTTCCTTTAGGGCTTGAAATACATCACTCCAAGCACTTCTTGCCTTGAGGATTTTCATTGAGAAGTCTGCTGTGATTCTGATGGGCTTTCCTTTGTATTTGATTTGTTTCTTTTCTCTAACTTCTTGTAGAATATTGGTCTGCTGGGTTTCTGGAATCTTAACTATTATATGCCTACATGTGTTTTTTTTTTTTTTTGATCAAGGCTAGTTGGAGTCCTGTATGCCTCACTTATCTGTATGCTGAGTTCTTTTCCCCTGCTTGGGAAGTTTTCTGCCATCACTTCTGTAAACAGTCCTTTTTATAGCATCTGCACTCTCTCCTGTTTCTCCATTGACTCTGATCAGTCATATGTTATTCTTCTATGCATCATCTAGCAGCTGCTGGATTGACTTCTCATGGTCCCTTAGTATTTTAAAGAAATTTTTCTTTTCCCAGTCACTATTTGCAACCTTATCTGTTGTATCTGAAATTCTCTCCTCATGTTGGTTCATTCTGTTGCATAAACTTTTAATGGAGTTTTTAATCTCCTGGAAATCTCTTTGCATCTGTTTTATGGATTCCATTTGTTTCGTATGTTGGGATTCCATCATGTTCTCTCAGCTCCTCTATTTTTTTATCTGTGTCCTCTCTAGATTTATTAATCATGTCTTGCACTATGGGCACAATCTCCGCTGTTATCTGAGAAATTATTTCTGATTTCATTTTTTTCCTGATCCTCTTTTGTTGCCAGTTCAGGGAGAGTCCAGGTGGTTGAGAATCAGATTGTTCCATCTCATTTCCCTTTGGGGTTGCTTTAGGTGATCTGGAAGTCAGGTTGTGTGACTTGTTTATGGGGCAGGGCTCAGTTCCTTGGTGCTGGGGGCCTCTGCTACTCTGTGCTGGGAGTGGTGGTACAGTGGCCTGAAAGGCTCAGCTACTCAGCACTGGGGCCTCTGTTCCTCTGCCCTAGGGGTGGTGGTAAGGCAGCACCAAAGGCTCAGCTACTAGGCACTGGGGGAGGTTCTGCTCCTCTGTAGAATTCCTATGATTCTTGATGATGAAAAGTTTCAAACACACTTTTTGTTTCCTCCTTTTTATTTATCACAAGTGGTATAAATGTATTCTGAAATCCTGGCATCTGACCACCTTTCCATGGGGTCTAATTAAGGCCAAAATTACTTTTATAGAAGTGGTAAAAATGAGATTATCAGGAGAAAAAGCAGTTTGTGCAAAAGTAGTTATCATTTTACAACAATTAAACTAAGTGAAGTTTCTAATTAGTAAAAATAATCCATTGACCATGTAGTACATAATTGGTATTTTAATTTGTTACATTTTTGCTGGTACTTGTCTTCACAGGTATGTTTAAAATATGCCTTACACTTGACTTATCCTAAATATAGCAGTGATTTGTTTCTACCTCCATGGCAGGTGCTGAGTAACTGAATGAGTAAACGAAGGCTGTGCGAATGCATGAACTTTATAAAGGTATCTCCCATATTACACAACCCCAGATGTCTGTAGTTCTCCCCTACAGTGAGCCAGGAAGTCTTCTAAAATATTGATAGAAAGAAATGCCTAGGGAAACACACCTGCATGCCTCTAAATTATAAATAATGTGATTATACTCTAACTGCCAGGAAAGATAAATTTCTGTGCTCATTGATATAAATTATTTTTCCTTCATTATGGGCTAATGAGCTAATATTAAGGAAACCTGGATTCAGGGTCTTCTGCCCCAGAAAAATCAATTAGGTCCTCTATGCTGTAGCTTATGGCCTTGTTCAGCTGGATTCCTGGCCCATATTGGTATATATTCTCCCACCACTTCTCTCAACAGCTAACCATACAGTAAATGTAAAACTCAATTGCACAGTCATTTTTCCTGGAGATGACAGCCAGTATTACATTGGCTGGTAGCTTCTTCACTCTGACCACCTATTTGAAATTTTCCTTCTTCTCCCTCTGTTGTCTTATCTCCCCCTACTAAATGAATTCATAATATTGTTACAGGTTAGGGAGACAGAGGGATATCTGAAGCAAAACAGAGCAGAAGCAAAACAGTTCTAAGCAGGGTTTTATTTAGATTTCATTTTAGGGTCTAGTCTTTTGTTAACCCACATATCTGGTTTGAGGTTTTCATTCTATTCAACTCTATAGCAAAAGAGATTAGAAGAATCCTGTACTCTCAGAGGATAATGGGGCCTCCTATTTTATAATAAGTTATTTTTCATAGTGATAGATAACTCTTAAGAAAAGGAAATTGACCTGGAGCAGAATATTCACTGGGTTTAGGATATCACAAATTTAAGGGAGACAAATAATCTTCTTTAAGGTCATAATTAACTTCAAAAGCACAGATCTATCATTTCCATCTATCATTTAGCTTTCATTATTGTGCTACAGGAATCATTCTGATGTAATTGGATAGACAGAGGTAAGGAAGGAACATCGTGAGATGTATGAAAATATAAGGCAAGGAGAAAAGGAATGTTTCAAAGAGCTGTGAATGTGAAAATTTACATAGCAAAATATTCCTCAAAATGACGAAAATAAAGAATATCATCTATAATAATCCAAGCCTGCCATCTAAAAATCAACAAAAAGTTCTAACTGGCTAGTCTTAGAATTAGAAATAGAAGCTATTCAAGACAGTATGTATGGGAAGGGCAAAATGTTTATAGTATTGCTCAACACTTTATCCATAAGGATGGATCTGCTATCACAACATACCATTCTCAACTTTTGGCAGAAGATCAGTAGTTTAGACAAGCACTGTAGCAATATCAGTTCAGATTAGGAAACATAGTCCTACTCCTAGACACAAATCCTGAGATTTATTCTATGAATTAATAGACATTATTAGGAAGAAGATATTAACTGAAATATTACATATAATTGCAGATGATTAAAATGGCCCTAATGCTCGATAAGAAAATGAATAATGCATCCAATTAATACAACCTCTCTATATAGAGACATTATAGAGTCGATATAGTAACATGAAAAATGTTTATGGATATAGTTAATAAAGTTAGAATATAAAATTTCATTTAACACATGACAATTATAACTGGAAAAACATATCACAGTTTCCTAATTTTATAATATTGTGCATTTGGAACTATTGCTTCAATATCAAATATATGCAATCAGTAGTACATATATCATTCTAGCTTTTAAATGCTAATATAAATTATTTCTTTATTTATATATTATGTTTTTTATTTATATATTATGTTTAAACTCCATTAACAGACTTCTTAAATATGTCAGAGTCACAAGAATTTAATCACCAAACTTTTGTGTTGTTCATGATTGACTCAGAAAGTTTGAAGATTGTCTTTCAAGCCTCTTAAAAGGCCAGACTCATATACCCATAAATACTTGTAATCATTTTTATGCACTCCTATAGAAAAATATTTTATAAATGAAGGCCCATAAACACATAAGATTCACTTAAAAAGTCATTCTGGGGCCCGGGATTTAGGTCAGTGGCACCGTGCCTGCCTCACAAGGTCCTGAGTTCCATCTCCAGTACAAAAACAAAAAAGTCATTCCATATTTGTCAATAGTCAGTGCCAAAATTTTAAAATTTCTAGCCAAGTTTGCCTGTGTTCAAGGGGAACAGTAGAACTCACATGTTTATTGTTTGGGCAGGCAGGTGACAGCAATTCTCACCTGAGCCTTGGGACAACATACTCAGCTTTTAATTGTAGGGATAGCAAGCCAGTCCATCCAATTTTAGACATTAGGTTTGACTCCTCTTTGCCTGGGTGGCCACATCGTTCTGTGTGTTTGGTGTAATTGATTTGTTAGGATGATCGGTCTGTTTGGATTCTCTACAGTGTCAGTCTGCAAGGGCTTCCCAGAAATGTACATGATTTCTGCCACACCCATATTCTTGCAAACTGTGGTTAGAGCTGACAGTGGACAAGGCCAGCATCGCACATTGGTGGAGAAGTCTCCTGCTAATGCAGGTGGTGAGGTAGGTATAAAACTGTGAAAGGTACAGATGTGATTTAGCTCATAAGACACATGGAAATGGATTATGAAGCAATAAGATTGGACTCAAAACCAGGAAGGGCATACATTTAGACTTTAGGATATGAAAAGTGTTCCAAAGGAGAGACAAGCTAGGTAATTAGCTCCAGGGAGAACAGTGCTTCAGTACAGGGAGACTCATACAAAGGCCCAGTGAAAGGGCCATGCCTGGTGAGTTTGAGGGCCTAGAAATTCCTTTCAATAACTGAGTTCCTCATACTGGGTCGAAGATGCCCACCCCACACCACACATTCTAATGCAAATATGTACTTTAGCATAATGGTAGCCAGCTGTGTCTCAGTAGCTGCACCAGGGAATACAGGAAGCAGTCTTTATTTTCACCCACTTGATAGAACTGAATGGCAAGATATAGGTATATGTGTCAAAGTATAAATGGGTGAGTTTTATTCGCATTATCCACCGTGTTACATTTTTGTGTATTTATATTTTTATTAAATATTTTATTTTGATTTTTCTTATAGAATTAGCCCAATTCAGTACAATGTCACATGAAAATCTGCTTTTACAACTTTGGGAGGAGGTTGAAAGGGGTCATCAAGTGACTCGGCTACCAATGATGACTTGGATCATGTAAGCCAAAGAAGATAGTATGATATGACAGATAGAGAAGCACAGAATGAAGACCTTGATTTTGATGAGGAAGAAAATGGTAATGTTAATAAATATCTGACTAGTCAAAATGCTATGAAATGGTCATGTATACCTGAGCAATTCATTGTTAGAGCTATGTAAGAAAATGTTATTAAGTTCTTTCCAGGGGTGAAACTTATTGGATGGAATGCTAATGCTGCAATTCAGTGTTGGAAATTATAAAGGACCATATGATACAAGATGTTGTGAAATACACTAATAATGAAATACAAGACAACATTCTAGATCCATCAATAGAAATATTCAAAAATATATTTATCATGACACCTCACTGAGATAGGATATTAAGATTGGCAAAAGCTATCTAGGGAAATAGGCATGACCTATTAACTGCAAGATCCCGGACACATGCACAGAACAGTTCCCAAAGACCTGTACATGGACTTTTCGCAAGAATTCGAGCCGGTTTTCAATAGGATAATCTAGACCTGAGGTTAGCCTAAGATGTAGGATCCCAGCAATGACTCTCAGGACCCATATGTAGAAATTCTCACTGGTTCTCTAGAGATTTGGACAGCATAAAAGGAGAGGTGAGCCTTGAAGGGCTTGCTATCATAACTTTCAATGATAGGCCACACTGTTTCCCAGATGCAGAGTGTACTTTTATCTTTGCTTTTATCCTCTTTTTCTCTTTACTCGCCCCAAGCACTCTCTGCAGAGCCAGTCTCTCCCACACTCTTTACTTTTACTTTCTTGAATAAACTTTGCCACTGCTTTTTTTGTTTGTTTCATTCAATTCTTTGTTCAAGACAAGGAGAAGCTGGAATCCAACTCCAGAAGGAGAGCCAAGTTATCCCAAACCCAGTAATGTTAAATTGGTGAGCCACTTTTTAGAAGAAAGCTACCTGATAACATCACTTTCTGAACTAAAAGCCTTTATAGCAGGACTTTATCATTCTAATTGTCAGAATCTAAAGGATTTATGGAGAAGTGACAGATATGATGTTGAGATTTTTAGAACAATAATGACACTCAAGAGATTTGGCTTCCTTCAAAATTGCCTACATTTTGATGACAAAAAGACCCACTAAGAAAAAAATCTGACAATTTGTCTGTTATTCGCTCATTTGTTGAAAGCTTTGTTTTGAACTGTTAAGCAATTTATACACCATTCTGATATATGACAATTAATGAACAAGTTGCATCATTTCATGGTTGTTGAAGCTTTAGGCAATATATGCCAAGTAAACTTTCCAAATATAGTATAAAAGTATATGTCCTGGTAGATGTGAAGTCATTTTATATCTTGAATTTAGAAATTTAGTAACCCAAATGTCACATTTTGCAATTAGTTTATTACTTACTCATTGATGTTACATTTGCTAAAAGAACACCAGTTGACCAGCATAGGAGCTATTACCAAGAACAAAGCTAAGATTCCTGAAAATACATTGCAAGTTTGCGACAGAGAAATGTATAGTACAATTGCAGAAAAATATAACCTTGGCCTCCTATATGTTGAAAAAAACAAAGTAGTATTAATACTGTCAACATTACACCATAATGATAAAATTGATAGTGAGGCCAGGTGTGGTGGTGCATGTAATCCCAGCACTGGGGAGGCTGAGGCAGAAGGATCCTGTGAGTTCAAGGTCAGCCTGTGGTACACAGTGAGTTCCATGCTAGCCTGGACTACATAGCAAGACCCTGTCTCAAAACAAACAAACAAACAAACATTGATAGTGAATCCTCAATACAAATGAAGCCAGAAATGGTTATGTTTTCCAACAAAACCAAAGGCAAAGTAGATGTTGTTGATGAGTTATGCAGCAACTATGATGTCACTTGAAACACAAAGCATTGGCCAATGGTTGTGTTTTACTAGATCTTAAACATGTGAGGCATAAATAGTTTTAGTTTACAATGAAAATATCAAGCACAAAATATCATGGAGAAATTCTATTAGAGGATTGGGACTGGAATTGATAAATGACCAAATACAATAGAGGATGATCAGTATGTATCTGCCCAAAGAACTCCTCAAAAGAATTCTGGAGCAAACAGGTGAATAGACAGGTGAAAGATCACAAGAACCTCCTAAGAAATCAGGAAGACTAGTAAGATATCAAGTATGTCCAACCAAAGGAGAAAGGAAAACAAAACACATGAGCTATCTCTTTAAGTGATACTTGTGTATGGAACATGCTGTTCTCATGTGTAAAAACTGCCTTAGGTGTGATAACTGAAGTAAAGATTATTTTTTAGGTAGAGTTTTATTTGTAATTTCATTATAGTTCACATAGGAATTTATTTCTGCTATTACTTTTTAGATTTAGCAAGCAAATAGTTGATATAGAAAATGTTGTTGTTTATTCTAAACACCCAGTATATATTTGATATTTAATTGATATTTTATTTTCCTGCTAAATGGATGTTGTATAATATAATAGGAAGCTCCTGAAAAAGATGAAGACAAGAGAGGTGACAAGTAGGGCCTACCAAACAGGAGAGGAAAGCTAAGCACACGTGCTATCAGTGTAAGCGAGACCTGTGTATGGAACATGCTGTCGTCATGTGTGAAGACTGCCTTAGGTGTGATAATTACAGCGCAGATTATTTCTTGGTAGACTTTTGTTTGTATTTTCAGTGTAGTTCACATAGGAATTTATCTCTGCTGTTATTTTTTAGATCTTGTAAGCAGGTAGACAGTTGATGTTGAAAATGTTGATGTTTATTCTACACATTCATTAGGTATTAAAAATTCAATATTTTATTGTATTGATATTTTATTTTCCTGTTAAGTACACATTGTTTAATATAATACAATTCACAAAATTAAAATTAATAATTCTACAATAGAAATACTGAAAAACAAGCGTGGGTGTTACATGGCCCCATACATGCCTTTTCTAATAATTTGCCATGATGCCCCTGGGTCTAAGGCAAACAGCTAGAAATGAAGGAAAGAGGAATTCATTTCTAAACTTTTAAAATCTTCCCTGATGTTCATTTTGTGCTTATCCCTGATTTACCACATATAAGTTTAAATTCTGTGTCACAATTTATCTGGATGCACAAGGACCATATTTCACTTAGATCCCACACCATTTAAATTTCTCTTAATTTAATTGGATTGACCAACTAGTAGAAGAAAAAAAGAAAATATTTTCAGGTTATTTATATTCAATAGTTATTTTAGTTGGCTCTCATAAACTAGACTGTTATGGACTAAAATGCATCCCACTCAAAACTCATATGTTGAAGCCCTCCCCCCCAGGACTTCTGAATGTAAATGTATTTGAAACAGGGCATGTCAAGAGGTGACTAAGTTAAAATGAGGCCATTAGGGTAGGTAGACCCTAATACAGTCTTACTGGTCTTTTTATTTTAATTAGCACATTAATTCTATAGAATAATGGGTTTCATTGTGACATATTCATACATGTGTAAAACATACTTTGATCATATCTTCACCCACAATTACTCCTCTTTGTCTTCCCTTCTGCCCTCTTTGTGATTCCCTTCTTTGACTGTGCTCCTACAAGAGGAGGAAATTTGAACATGCAGAGAGATAGCAAGGCCCATGAACACAGAGGGATGACCACATGCAAGAAGTTGGCCATCTGCAAGCTGAAGACAGAGGCCCCAAAGGAAACCAAATCTACAAATATTTTGTTGGATGTCTTGCCTCCACACTGTGAGGAATAAAATTCCTATTGTTTGAGCCACTTGGTCTGTGGTATTTTGTTACGGCTGCCCTTTTAGACTAATTCACATATCCAATTTTGGAATATTTAAATTGTCCAACGATACCAAAATGCAAGAGGACTCAGGTGTTGTACAGTAAGAGCTACCTTGGCAGTGTCACTGAACACTAAGTTGCAGCATGTGGAAAAAGATGGAATTCATAGGGGATATAGATAAACGAGAGCTCAGGGTTCCATCTTCTTCACATCCCATGGCCTGGTATTCCTGGCTCTGGCTGTAGGCTGTTTGGGGAGGGCCCACTTCCCTGTCTGTGGAGTGAGATGAGAGCAGTCTTGTAAGCAAGGCAAAAACAGTCTAGGGTTAGGTAGAACACAGCTCGCCCTTGGATGCCACCTCTTCAGTGCCAGTATCTGGCAATTTGTGAAAGTCAGGTTCAGGTGAAGCCAGGCTTCCTGGAGGGAATGAGGGGCCCCTGATTCCAAGTAGCTGGTTACTAGGCAACCCAGGAAGATTTTGTGATAATTATAGACAATCTGGGTTGTCTCTACATGGGTAGAGTGGTTTTTATACATCAATCTGAAAATGAAAAAGATAACCACAAGTATGCAGTAAAGCATATAAATTTTAAGTGTTCAATTCAGTAACTTTCTACATCTTTACACAGAGTTAACCACTACTTTAACCAAGATGCGGGATATTTCAGTTCCATATGATGCCCCATCATGCCTCTTAGTCAACATTCTCACCAAAGGTAACTAACCAGTATCTTGAATTTTTATATTGAATTTTGATTAGCTCAATGCAGATTATATAAGAGCCCCAAATAACTTCTAGGAATCCTGGTGTCTGTAGTTTTGGTCAGGTAGCTACGCCATGTCTGTCTCTATCTTGCCCAGATTCTCCTGAGGCTTCCTAATTGTCTTATCTAATGATTCATTCTCTCCTGCTGTTTGCAGTGGACAGACTGTGGTTGCTACACATCAGTACAAAGCATGAGAAGGCATGGCTTACACAGTACAGCTGCTTTCAATATCCAATGTTGCAATCCCTAGATATTTTCTTGCAAATCGGCAGTTTCAACTGCTCTAGTGTTCATTTGTAACTTTTTTATTCTGCCACATACATGTGCCCTACTGAACTTGCCTCTTCCCATCCATGGTGGCTGAAAACCATGTGGCCCTGTTTACTCTGCCATGCAGGGGAATGTAGGACACAAGTTGTTTTCATCTGGACACAGGGATTGGTGTGAGGCAGGCAAGTCCTAAACAGAGAAGGCAGAGCCCATTTTCAGGATTGTTATGGATGTTACAGGAGATAAGAGAGTGGCAACTTAACATAAGGGTTCATGTGACATTGCTGGGGCCAAATTAGCTAGTCAAGTCCAGTTCTATTCCTAATGATTCTGTGGATTCATTTGGATAAATAAATGACTTAACCTCAGGGAATGATTATGAGCATTAAATGAAACAATACCCAAAAAGTGTGAAGAGGAATGTCAAGTACACAGGAAGCACTTACATAATGGCAGCTATTCCTGAGGTTATCTTAGGCTGGAGTAGTGGAAGGATCTTTGCTGCTAGATGAGGAGCAACTGCTTGAAACAGTTCCAATAAAGTAACAGCATGCTCAGGAAGGAAGAGAGAGACCCTGAGGTGGATGACATCTTTTGATGCCTAGATGCAGCTTTTCCTGAAGTCACAATCACTGCTTGAGCTTTCCAGTTACCTAACCCAATACATTCACTCTCACATTTCTCTTTTGCTAAAAGGAATTACATCTTTGGTATTCACAGTGGAATGAGGTCTGGAATGAGAATCCCACAATTCTAATGCAAAACATAGACCAGAAGTTCCTGCTTTCATTTAGGGTTAACCGTAGGAATCATCCAAGCCATTTTTCTCATCATGCAGGGATATGATGAGCTGCTATGGTGAGAAAATTGCAGAAGACCCAAATATACCTTTAATTTTAATATTCCTGAAAAAATGGTCATGACTTTTATTTATTTCATGACAGGTGATATTTTCATTTTCTTTGTCGAATGTAACAGAAGTCCCAAAGTAGAACCAAGCAAAAGAAGAGGGGAATGTTTCTTTATGCTATTGAATCTTTTTGTCTTTCTAGAACAAGGAAGTAATGTGTAGAGGTGGGTTTTTTAAAAATTTATTTACCAGCAAATGTCACATTTATTAGTGGAACCTTCAACATAGAGTGAAGCTGATGACCAGAAGACAGAAAAGTGCAGAATTCAATCTCAAAGTTCCTGTCAGAATGTGATCCAAAATAAATTTAGATTCAATAGGGACAAATGAGTCAAAGGTTTTCAGCAGCAGCTTTGACACATTACCACACACTGGCAAATTTGTATTTTTCAATTTGGACAGTCAGAGCACAGAGGTTTAAAACAAATATACACACATCACTGACAATTATCATCTTCACCTCTCCATTCCATTCCTAATAGGAAGGGTGGGGAGAGAGAGAGAGAGGGAGAGAGAGAGAGAGAGAGAGAGAGAAAGGGAACAAATCACTGTGATATATTGTACTTAAATTTTCTATTTCATCTCCAAAGCTATAGGCTCAGAATGTTAGGTTTTATAAATTTTCAAATAGTCTACATGACTAAGTTGACCTTTTAGCATTCAAGAATCAAATATGTGAAGTAGTGTACTGTATGTTAGAATGATTATTGATGGTAGCTACAGTCATTCATTCTAAAAGTTTCTAATGAGTACCTTTCTGTACATTTTACTTTTTAGAAAATTTTTCTGTGTTCGATTATCATCCAAATTTTAAATTCTATTCTTAAATTATAAAGGCTACAAGTAGTATTTTGTTACAAACAAAAGTAACACATATATGAAAACAACATATTTAAAGATTCTATACTGTTTAAAGTGTGACACTGCATTTCAGAGTAACAAAGATGAAACTTCTTCATTTTATATAATAATCTATGCAGCTTCAAATTACACTATTTAAATGCAGATAAAGATTTAGGAAAATTGTGATTCAAAAGATCTGTGTGTTTGTTTGTGTCCTAGCAATGAAATAAACTTTTGGTGATTCAGGATTAGATTCATAAAATAAGCATCTATTACTGATTATTAGTTTAGACAATACAGACATTTTTAAAACAAGGGACAAAACATTTTCTCACAAATTTTATATTACAAGAGACATATAGGTAAGAAAGATAAAGTCAATGAGGCAACATTTCATTGAATACCATTAACCAGTACCTTGGGTTTATGATGGGGTAAAATAGAGTAATATTTACATTATGATAGGGACACCTCATGAGCGTTTCAATTAAAATATGCAACCATGATATCATCAAGCTAGAAATTGGTTCTGCATGACTGAAGCTGAGGCCCACTGCACTGGATGTATTTATTCCCATTTATTGAGCTATGACCCTTGACTTCCTTTTAAGGCCTTCTACCAAAAACCTGAATTAACACTCAGCTTGAAATTCAGCCTATTTCCAGAATTCTCCTTAATGGAATGGATTCTGTATGCTACACATGACAAGAGCAATGTGATGAAGTTCTTTGCGTTGGCATTCATGGTTCACAGCTTCTTTCTCTACCATAGACCTGCCCTGGACTTGCCAAAGAGGGTTAGGAAATTGTTCACCCCCAATTAGGAGCAGACAAAAACGTCCTATCACTTTGATGTGATGGTGAATGTGTTCCACTGGGCTAACAGAGGAGGGCCTCATACAGTGTGTCTTTAATGACAGATCTGTTTAACAAATTCCTCAGTTAGTTCCAACTTTCTTTTCCAAGGAAAAACTGTTCAAGAAATATTTTCAAGAAGCTAATGTAAACCTGCAGCAGACTATTTTGAAATAAAAGCACAAAATAATTATACATCTTTTGAATTCAAGGTGCTTGGTAATAGATAACTTCTTTGAGTGTAAGATTAACTCAGTAGTCCTAGATTTATTATAATTTAAAGTTTTAAATTTTTAAATTCAAATCCTGCTCCTACAATTGATCTCAACAATCAAGATGGAAAGCCATAATTGGCTTAGAAGTTTCAAGAGAAAAATTAAATTCAGAGTTTTCTTTAGATTTTTTTTGTGCAAAAAATTTAAAATCTAACTGTATTCTTTCACTCATTTCTTCATCCAGGAAGAATATATAATGAGTACTGTCTATGTGGCCAATACTGTGCTAATTTCTTGGGACACAGAGGTGAACAGAGGAGCCAGGTCCAGCCCTTGGGGAGCTATTAGGTGACTGAGTGGATGAAAACAAGCCACAAAAAATAAATACATCACTTCAAATTGTTGTAGTGTCATGACGCCTGTCAAAAGTGCAGCGATAGAGAATAATTAGGTGGTTTCAGAGACAGTCTCTCTGGAGATCTGACTCTTTTAACAGAGACCTGAAGTATGAGGATCTGGGAGAGAGAGAGAGAGAAAGAGAGAGAGATAAGGGGAGAGAGAGAGAGAGAAAGAGAGAGAGATAAGGGGAGAGAGAGAGAGAGAACAACAGCGATGGAGAGATATGGAAGACATGATGGAGAAAAGTATGGGAAGGAGATGATGTAGAATTAGGCCACAATCCAAGTGCTGCCCATAAAAACAAACCTCAAGGTCAAGGGATGCTGGAAGAACATACTTAGGCTCCTCATCCACCTGAGACCCCCACCCCCACCCCACCCTGGGAGAGTTGCTTGTGTCTCCTTTCCCAGACTCCACCTCAGATACCTGCTATCATTCTACTTTAGGGTCTGACATCTTCTAGAGTCTCAGGTGGTAACTACTTCCCTGCCCTACCAAGTGAACCTTCCACCTAGGCCCATTGCCTGGTGCTCAGTTGAGCCCTGCTGATCTTTCTCTAAGCTGGGCAGCAGGCAGTGGGTTGGTGCTGCAAGGAACCCCTGGTGCTTAGCAACTCTGGATCAGTTTCTCTCTGGGAAAGCTGAAAAGTCTTTGGCAACTCTTAAATATCTTGCCCTGTGACAACTAAAAACTTTGTTCTTTGGCACTTGTCCTGAGGCTAT